ATGTTAGACTTGACTCTCCAGAAGGAAGTGCTTGAAAACTAAATGGTTTGTAGAGCATAACAATATTTAGAATTGTTTGAGGAATATCAGAACAGTGCGGTTTAAAAGCATTGCAATGGAGTGGAGGTTAACTTCACTGGCATAAGAGAAGTGCAGGATAATGGTGCAGAAAGGATATATCTTTAACAACAAGAAAATGAGAAATGGGAGGAAAAGGGGAAAACTGTTGGTTAGGCAGCAGTTGGACTGTTGGGACAGGCTATGTGCTATGGAGCCATCCTCCATCTGTCAACACAGGGAGTTGTGATTCTTGCATCAGCAGAGCAGGGCTCAGCATCAAGAGAAATGGGGTGAGGAGGGAGGGAAAGTGAGAGAGAGATTTTAACAGCAGCTAAATTCTCATCAGGCACGCAAGACTGAACGTCCCCTCTTCGAAGCAAAGCACGATAGACCAGTGAGGAGCATCTGCTCTGTGGCTTTGTTGCCTCTAAATAAAAGTGCACTACGACAGCTCTGGAGAAATCGTTGTCCATCTTTAGCTTGTAAATATTTTTTTTGTGGTACAGCCGTCACATATGGTTCATAAATGGACATGGTTCTTGCGTAATTGCCTGTAACCCACTACAGTTTAGACATAAATGAGACATACTTAATTATGTATACACTCTTACAAATAAAGATTCTTTATTGGCATTGATGGTTCCATGAAGAACATTCAACATCCATTTACAAAAGACAATTCGTATTTTATATTTTTGAATGAAATCAGTGGTTCTTTTGAGGAATGTTTACAGATTATGTTCTGGTGTCTCTTTATGGGAAAAAAATCTTTATTTTTAAGAGTGTATGGTTATTGCATTTTTACATTTAATAGCAACTGAGCTTGGGAAATTTAGCTGTGCATTTCCGAAAACGTTACAGCAGTCTTTTTGTGTACTTGTCTAAATCTCCTCCCCTTTAAACTGCATGGCATGCAAGGTTGCCAAAGCCAAACTTTCGTCTTTCCATCAGCTTATTTTAAGATGAAAACACTTTCCATTTTTCAGTCAGACACGTTTCTGTTTCAGTTGACTCAACATTTACAATATTATTTCATTGTGTGTCATGGCTCTGTGTAGTTCAAACTGTTGGAGAACCGATTTTTGATGTTTTTTGGGTTGGACAATTCACACTTTTTAAAGTTTAAGTATGTTTCCCCAAAATCAAGCCAACAACTCCCTTCAAAAGCTTAGTGTACTAACTCTACAAAATAAAGAACAAGCACAGAGGGCTTTAAGCACGTAGGGTTTTGGTTTATATTACCTTAGGTGCGTTTGCCTTTTTTAACAGCAGATTTCCAGAATTGGCAGCCCATCTTGAGGTAATTTATTGTTTGTTTTCTCAGCTTTTAAATTAAATTAATCTGAACGTTTGTCACTGTGCATTATTTGTTTAGTCATGTATCTTTAGCTGAAACATGAGGTTTTCCCAGTTTTGTAGGATGCTATTTAAAGAACATTTGTAATGTTATTACAACTGGTGCTTGGATATATGTTTGCAATGCATTATGCAGCAGGGGAGACTGGAACGCTTGTAATATTTTGTTTCAGTATTTATAACCCTCTTTTTTGGTATTGAGTCTCTCAAAAAGTAATATAATATTCCAATTTATGTCTGCTACAGTCCAATTTAAAGCAGTTTACAAATAAATATTCCTGAAATAAATGAATATCTACAATGTCGCTGTTATAACCGACCCCAATATCGGATGTTTTTAACGCTAATTAAAAACATGGACATCGGTTTTCATATTTTGTCCGGGATTTTGTTCTATCTAATGAGCTTGTTAAAACATCTATGCCATCCACCCTTCATTGGTATTCATTTGAATTCACAACTATACATGTATAAGGCAAACCTTTACATGAATTAAAACGTGTTACAACCTTCTCTGTATTATTTTTTTTTTTCAAGCAAAATGCTTACATGAATCTTGCATATCCAATTAATCGAGAACATGCTGATTCAGATGATATCAGTTCTGTCATTTCACGTTCATTAACATGATCACAAATCTCATTATAAGCCAGACGTGAAATTATACTTTCTCACCTCAAAATAGTGTAAAGATGTAACGAAATTATAATTCAGGGAAAAACTGTTACAACTACTTCTGTCGCTTCGGAGGTTAGTGATCATGGTTGGTACTTATTCCAGTTGGTTAAACAAATGTTGTTACAACTAAATCCTATGTTTCGCTACTTTTGTTCTTATTGAAAACTATTTCTATCTATCTATCTATCTATCTATCTATCTATCTATCTATCTATCTATCTATCTATCTATCTATCTATCTATCTATCTATCTATCTATCTATCTATCTATCTATCTATCTATCTGATGTAAGTCTCGTGATACATGCCTCGAGCTGAGAAAACTGCTTGAGGTAATGATTAAAGATTAAGAAAATTACCAGAGGAATTATGTATCTATCCACATTTACCCACACGTCTCGATAGGGGCCTTGTGCATAATACAGTTGATGTATATTCAGTGCTCGAGCTGGATTTGTCGTAATTGACACTCACGCGAGAACCAAGGAACAGCCCCCATCTGCTGGTAGGATCGTTCGTGTCTCACCCTCATCCATCCCTCTCTCACCGCGGCACTGCTGGGGCTTCAGGACGGCGCTCAGCGGCTCACGGTAAACCCCCATTTTTTTGTATAGCTTTGGTGCGTGAATATACTGTTTGACACGGTGAACAACATATTTGGATGCTTTGCAGAGTTTCGGAAAATATTGTTTATGCATAATTGATGAGGAAAGACCTTCAATTTAGCCTACACACACATACGTAGAGCTATGTATAGGGCAGGTGAACCAGGTAAAAGTTATTACGGGCGCATCAAATACGACGCAGGTTGCAAATCGAATTAAAGATGTATATTTGAGCTTGATTCGGTTTGCATAATATTTAGATATTAAGGTATTTCATTTAAATGGTATTATCTTGAATTGTGAAATAGTGGAAATAGCATATACCTAAATATGAATATCAGAGTTAATCTGTTCATTTTATCTATGTTTTCGTTTGAAAAATATACATTTGGTGATCTTGGAACAGAGCTGAGAGCAATTTTTAATATGTATAATTGACTATAAGTTGATTCGTATTTGTGTGTAAGAAATACAAAATGTTCGCGTGGAGCAGTATAATTAAGGATATCTTATTTAAATTTAAGTGAAAGCGCTTGATTTTTTCGATGATACATTTATTCTGAAGCAAACATTTTTAAAAGCAATTGCAAACGACACACAGACTGATTCGTATAACCTATGAGAATGTTGCATATGTAATGCATTTGAGATCATCACAATTTGACATGATTTCTGTTCGAGCAAATTAATTCACATAAAGCTTATTTATAGTATAGTCTCTGACAGATATTGTTTACTCTTCAAATAAATATTTCCTTTTGATTTGATACATTTAACAGAGACAAACATTTAACAGAGACAAACACACGCACGACCGAGAGCTGTAATTTCTAATTTTATCTTCAAAATTAGATTTCTCTATCTAGAAATGTATTCTAATTGGTCAAATAGTTAATGAATGTAGTTTGAGCGTGCATGGAGAGTCGAATAAATATTCTCAGCATAATTAAAACAACTAATAATTTGTAATGAACAGACAGAAGAAAATGTATAGCCTAAGGAAGCGTTGTCTGTCTAAACTAGAATTTAGATTTTATATGTAAATAATAAGAAAGATGATTGCAACAATCAAATCCCTTTCTAATATGCACATTTTATACATGGCCTATGTAAATTTAAAAACGCAATGCTTGTGCAGTTATTCATAATATAGGCCTAATTAAACAGCTTCGTGTAAATGAAGAGATGCATGAATGTCGCCTAATCTATTCTTCCTTTGATATTGTAACCATAACGAATAGTTGGATTAAGGTTGCTATCAATTATTTATTTTTTATTATTCTTAAGTAGTTTTACGATCATCCCTCGTATATATTCGTACAGAAAAATAAATTGTGGCAATGGGATTCAATTGACGTTTGACATCTGAAAAATCAAAGAATGTAAACAACTGCTTATTCCTCCTCCCAACAGCATCGCTCCCCTTCCCTCGCTTGCTCCTTTCTCTCTTTCTCCCGAAAACACACATGAAGAGAAAGACCATCATACACAGACACACACCTTTATGAAACATTCTGACAACTTTTTAAATTATGCCACCACTTTAGTCCATTTTAATTGTACATATATCATACAATGTACTTAAAGGATTAGCGTCTTTTATACTTTACATTAACCTGAATTCATGCAGTACAAGATATATATATATATATATATATAAACTCCCAATAGCAGAAAAGAATATTACGTTATATATATATATATATAACGTAATATTCTTTTCTGCTATTGGGAGTTAATTATGAATGACACTCGCGATAAACTAACAAGCAACTCTCTGACAATTTTCAAATACATTTTTCCAAGAAGACTCAAAACTACAAGAGAGGTCAGATGAAGTACAGTATTCACAGTCTCAATAATTTAACATTAATTTTAATTAGACGCATTTACAGACACTAAAACTACATGAGAAAAAATAAAAACCTAACAAAAAGTGTCACAACGTCTCTGAAAGGAACTAAACGTCCACACCAAGTGTTTTTAGTGTTCACAATCTCAATTAAACACTTATTTTAGCTACACGCATTTACAAAAGCTTAAAACTACATGAAAAAATAGAAGGCCTTGCAAAAAAAATCAAAGTGGCAAAACACCAGTTAAAAAGGAAGTAAAAGGTCTATACCAAGTGCTTTCCAAGCTCGTGTTGCCCATCACCATCGGTTTGAAGAGAGAGTGACAGGTCTTTGTTGGTGAATAGAAATCAGTGGCATTGGAGAGAGGGAGGACTCCTCCTACCCAATTACCCAAGCTGGGCAGGCGTTTGCTCTCTTCACAAATAGGACACAGGATCTCTAACACACACAGTCCCAAACCCGACTTTCACGCATTCGGATCCTCAGTTGGAGATTGGGACTATCTGAAAACCCACGTTTAAAACATCCTCCAGACTTCAGTTTTGCCTTATATCATCCGGACTATACTTTTTTCTGACGTTGGAGAAAGTGGACTGGTTCTCCTGACTGTTCCTGCGCCGTCCATCAAATTCCACCGGCTTAATATTTTTGTAACACATTGATTGCATTTTGTTGTGAATCTGTTGGTGTAGATCCACTCGGATGTTTTAAGGATCCGGAAAGCTGTATATGGAAGTTGTGGGGTGCAAGGCGAAAGAAAGCAGTTGCACATTGCGTCCAGCAGCCATGCTTTTCCACGGCATCTCTGGGGATCATATTCAAGGGATCATGGAGGAGATGGAGAGGAGATCTAAATCGGAGTCTCGACTAGCAAAAACCGTCCAGATGAACGGACGGGAGACGGTAAGAATTTGTGTTTTGGCGTGCATTTTACGTTAAAGCAAATGTCAAACTCTCCCGTCGCTATATACACCTCATAGTTTGTAACCCACTTTTAAAAACGTAGCGAAAACATTTGTACGATTTTAAAACATTAGCAGGCCTCTGGAAACATGCAAAAAGTAATTACGGAGGATATCAATAACATCTGAAATGCCTAAGAGTAACTATAAAGCATGAAGAGAGTTATATGCCAAAATTAAATTTCACATTTGAGCCAAAATCTACAGACATTTTATTTTATTTTAGCAGTTTCACAACATTCCTTATATTTATTTTAGGGGTAAGATGTCCAAAAACGACAAAAATAAGATCAATATGTTTTTGCCAAGCAAGTGACAAAATATTTAACAGTTAATAACCTGTAGGCTTGTATTAAATTTAATAATAATTTTTGTGATAAGAAATAGTCATTTTTCGTTAACATTTTTTAAATTATATTTTAGACTAGGCACTCATTAAAATGAAATCAAAGCACAGAACAAACAAAACATGCAATGTGTAGTTATGCATCATATCTAGTTTTGGTTTGATAATTGAGAAAGCTCACTCATAATTTTATTAAAAACATAAAAATAATAAATATACAGTTTCATTTAGTATGCTTTTGAATTTACTTTAAGTTCTATATCTATAATGGCAAACTCATTTACTGTGGTGTATTTTGATTAACGCCGAAACCTTTATTTACTCCACCAATTATGTTTTTTTTTTTTTTTTTTAAAGACTATGCCCTCCATGAGCCCAGAGAAGCCTGCGCTGTGCGCCGGCTGCGGTGGTAAAATCTCCGACAGATACTACTTACTCGCCGTTGATAAACAGTGGCATTTAAGGTGTCTCAAGTGTTGTGAATGTAAACTGGCCCTTGAATCCGAACTGACGTGTTTCGCAAAGGATGGCAGCATTTACTGCAAAGAGGATTACTACAGGTAAGCATTAACTTTGAGGCTTAAATCTTGCGTTAGGCCTGTTTAGTAGGCCTAACTTTTTTTTTCGAACACACATAAAGGCTGGTGACATCTGAGCTAGTGTAAGCCATTGACCCATATAGTGATCTTCAGTGATTAACTGACACGCCTAAATTAATCTAATAAACCTAATTAATTCATGCTCAGTGCGTCTATTTTTCTATTCAATTTTTAGCCAGTTGTTTTTTTTAAGGAAAACGAATTATGTCAGACTATAGAAGATACAACCATTTTTCCAAATAAATGTACACATATATAAATAATAGCAAATGCGTGCATTTAAAAGATTTTGATTAATAAAAATATCTAAATTTCACGTGCACCCGCTTTTTATATGTTAAACGTATTTGTTAATGACATACTAAATGTTTTCATCAATCTATGTTTGATTGTAAATGGTGTGTGCTGTTCCAGAAGGTTCTCCGTGCAGAGATGTGCCCGCTGCCACCTCGGCATATCCGCTTCGGAAATGGTGATGCGCGCCAGGGACTCCGTGTACCATCTGAGCTGCTTCACCTGCACCACATGCAACAAAACACTGACCACGGGTGACCATTTCGGCATGAAAGACAACTTGGTTTACTGCCGGGTTCACTTTGAGACCCTTATTCAGGGAGAGTATCACCCTCAATTAAACTACGCTGAATTAGCGGCCAAAGGCGGAGGGCTTGCGCTGCCTTACTTCAATGGCACCGGCACGGTGCAGAAAGGAAGGCCACGAAAGAGGAAGAGTCCGGCGATGGGGATTGACATCGGCTCTTACAGCTCAGGTGAGATGTCAATTTACAGCTGCTCAGTGGCGTTGCTCACCATTTATTTTGGTTTATTTCTGAGTGTTCGTGTTCGTTTTGTTAGCGGAGTAATTTGATTCTTAATTCGAATCTTTCGGCTTTCGAAAAAGACGATCAGGACAAATTAATTCAATTAAACTGTTGTTCAAATAGATATCAATATTAGCCTACTTTTAAATGCAAAAGTCTAATAATTGTGTCAAGTGTCTTTATATGTTTGATTATAATATAAATGCATTCTCGGCTGTATTTTTAGAGTTTTCAGTTTGTGCAAAATTAGCCTACATTTAAAAAAAAAAACGACATTATTAAAAATAAAAGATATGTAGGCTACTGGCATCAGTTTCACGAACTGTCCTTTTTAATATCATAAAAGCTTTTTTATATAAAAAATATTTTTAATTATAATTATTTTTAGGTATTTTTTATCTTTAAACATTTTTTTTTTGCTAAAAAGCTTATTTAGGCACCACAGACATCTTTAATGGCATTACTGTTAAAAAACAACATTTAGTTCGTCCTGGCACATTTATTTTTAAGATAACGTGGGAGCGTTTTTGGGGGGAAAGTAGGACATTTTTAATATGTTACTTGCTCTGCGCAATTATGATCATTAATAATTGTTATGAGCTAACATGGCGTAAACCATGGCATGCATAGAATAAAGTCAATTTCATATACTAGCATGATATTGTTTTGTGTTGCTCTCGTAATGTTAGATATTAGTTGCTTCATGATTTCAAGTTTGACCATTTTGGTTACAAATGGTTCAATGTTGGTCTAGACAAATGGATCAGATGGATTAATTGGTGGTAAGGCCTTGGTCACCTTCAGTATCAAATCAACCAGTAGCTTAATCCAGCTACGATCTTCATAATCATCTTGATTTTTTGAGTTTAGTTTTTTTATGAGTGTTTGTGGAGTTTTTAGATGCCTGCACAACATAATTACTGAACTATTTAAAGTCACTGTCCCACTTTTGTTGATAATCCATTTCACTTCTAGTTCAGGTGAAAAGCTGTGTAATAATTGTCCCAATAGCAAATTTTATTCGTTATTTTACATAAATTATAATCATTTAAAATCCTTTAAAATATATTTAAATGTAAGTGTAATAAACGCTTCGCTCTATCGCGGATTACCCCAAAAACGTCCTGAATATTAGTTCACACTACACTGCAGTAGACTACTGGCCTACATGCATAAGTATTGCGGTATTACAATTTACAAAAATAATACTATGCGTCTATCAGTGATGCTGTACGCTAATGTAAAGTGATTTTTCCTCAACGCTTGTCCATGTTTCCTCGTATTTTATTTCAGCAGGAACCCTAAACCAAATATCGCGCTTGCGTCTTGTTGACTATTGGGTCTGATTAATTATAGGCCTCGCTCATTAGTGCGTCATCAAACATCTAATTTGAAACTCTCCAAGGACTGAACCCGTGACCCAGCCCCACGTGCGAGAATCACAGCAATGTAGATCCCTCGCCTACAGGCCCATATTTGCCCTCATAATACCAGTCATTATTTCTCATCTCTCGCTTTTATAAAAAAGAAATCTCCTTTTTGAATTCGGACGCACGTCACAATGCATTCCCGCTGCGCCTGTTTTGTTTTGGCTGTTACAATTACTGTCTGCTTGGAAAAAATGTGGCTTTGTATGCCAAGTTTCTGCCGTTCTTCATGAATGGAGAGAAATAAGGGTAATCTGCCTGTTAATTGTTCTCCGTTAATTGAATGTGACGTCGGAATCTCTGGCTCTCAAGCAGCTCCGATTCAGCCATTTGAAGGTCATTGCTGTTCTCAGGACACAAGCGCGCGCACGTTTACAGCAGTTAGCTACTTTTACGCACATCAATCCCACTTTAAATTTCGCTTTTCTTGACACTAACATGTTGTGAAGTTTGTAATATTTTATCAAGCTGTAGTTTGTCTTACAAAATTAAATGGATGTCGGATGTAATAATGTCATGTTATTGATGACTGTGGACTATTTTAGATTATAGTAATTTCGTTATTATTATTATTTAATTATTTAAAGTATTTTGTACTCGTGTAAAGTTATTCTTTTATATTTACCTTTATTATTATTAATATTATCATAATCTTTAGTTATTTTTTGTTCAGTGTGCATGTTGCATACGTGATCAGATTCATTTTACATTCACAATTAGTCTATAATTAGTTTTAAACCCGTTTTGCATTTTAAAATTATATGTAATTTGTTTTTCCACAGCATTTTAGATTTTTACATTAGTTAAAAAGACCCAGCAGGACTTGTTGCATAGATATTTGCAGATAGAGACCTCTTGTGGCAAAAAATAAATCTGGACCGTAAAGGAAAATCATTTTGCTCCTTTGATACCTTTATAAATTCAACATGTAAAATTCTAATCTGTTTTTATTGCTGCAAATACACACATAAACGGTCATCGTTCGAATTAATAACCACATGAATAAAACGGAGCAGCGATTTAACATGTCCCACAGCTGACACGTGGCGATTAAATAATTGGAGCTATTCTTGGCATAAATTTGGTATTAATGGCTATATTTATTTAAACGCCATAAATTATCAAGTACAGTAATATAAGATGCCATATAGGTGACGCTGTTCATCCTGGCTAATATCTTAGATGATTATTTAATTTCTACATATTATTTTAAAGCAAACATTCCTTGTTCTGAAATTAAAGTGTGTGTAAATGCATTTAGTGGGTAATCGAATTTTTGTGTTTTTATGATTTTGCAAAAATTAGGGCTGAATTTAAACACGGTTGTGATCAATTTAATACTTTTTAGTGATAAAGGTTCTTCATTGATTAGATAACGAAATTCAAAAACTTTATAATGAAACATGGTTGTTTAGAGTGATAAAATGTTCATCTTGTGTATTTAAACATTGACAAAACATGAGAGCAAAGCTTTATAGTTTCATCTTGCACTGTATTTGAATCACCAATGTCTGGTCTGAACACTCATACTCACATTAAATATCATTTTGATCTTTGACAATAATCTAAATAATTCTCATTGCTTTATTTTCGCCCAATTTAGGTTGTAATGAGAACGATGCGGACCATTTGGATCGGGATCAGCAACCCTACCCTCCTTCCCAGAAGACCAAGCGCATGCGTACATCATTCAAACACCATCAGCTTCGCACCATGAAGTCCTACTTTGCCATTAACCACAACCCCGATGCCAAGGACTTAAAACAACTCGCCCAAAAGACAGGACTGACCAAGAGAGTTCTTCAGGTAAGAGTCGCCACACAGTAGACTCCATTTCACATCCAAACCGACACTTTTCATTGCACCCTTTGAGTTTCTGTTTGAAATCCATCCATCATTTTTTGATCATGTAGTTGCGGTTTAAATTTCAGAGGCTTAATTCAAGGGGCAATACTTATGCACCGAAAAAGAAAATCCATTAGGGATATTAATTTGGAGCATGGTCCATGTTTTTCAGTAGAATCCCTAGCAAAAGCAGAGGCCTTGTAGAGCCTTTCGATTCACTTTGGCATTGTTTAGTAGTGATTATCTTTGTGATGTTAACCCTCATAACACATTCTAAATATGTATTCTGTGTATGCATTCCAGGTCCGTTTGTTTCTGTAAAACAAATTTCTGCTTAACTTTAAAACTGAAAACGTAACATTTTATTTAAAAAAATCTTAGTTATTAGCAAATGTGTTAAAAGTGCAATGATACAATGTTATTACCATTTAACTACAATGTAATTGTACCATTTACCTTTTTATTAAAGTAAAGTGTGAAAATTCTATTAAATATATATGTATATACAGTTAAAGTCAGAATTATTAGCCCCTTTAATTTTTATTTTTAAATACTTTCCAAATGAACATAGCAAGGAAACTTTCACAGTATGTCTGATAATATTTTTTCTTCTGGAGAAAGTCTTATTTGTTTTATTTCGGCTAGAATAAAATCAGTTTAAAATTTTTAAAAATCCATTTAAAGGTCAAAATTATTAGCCCCTTTAAGCATTTTTTTTTGTGAAAGTCAACAAACAAACCATCATTATACAATAACTTGTCCTTTTTTACCCTAACCTGCCTAGTTAACCTAATTAACCTAGGCAAGCCTTTAAATGTCACTTTAAGCTGTATAAAAGTATCTTGAAAAATATCTAGTAAAATATTATTTATTGTCATCATGACAAAGATAAAATAAATCAGTTATTAGAGATGAGTTATTAAAATTATTATGTTTAGAAATGTGAAAAAATCTCTCCGTTAAACAGAAATTGTAGAAAAAAGTAATCAGGGGGGGCTAATAATTCAGGGGGGCTAATAAATCTGACTTCAACAATATATTGTTCATTAATTATGAGAAATTGATTACTTATTGTACGGTATTTATAAAAACATATACTACGATAATTACTCTTATTAACCTATTGGAATGAATGGAACTGAAATAATTTCTATCTAATGAAATGAAAACACATATTTAGTTCTACCAGAATAAATTAAATTTGTTTTAAATAAAAAAAAACATTTAAAACAAAATAATTGAACTTTTTTAAGGAAACGCAATTTGATAGCCTGCAATATGTGTATCTTTACATGTTTTTTCAGAAATAAAGTCATGTTCAACATAACCTGAAGGTCAAACATGCAACAATTATTAAAAAAAATCAGTAAAAAAAAATAATTGGTGTCTATTTTAAAGCATGTTCAGTTCCATACTAAAAGCTTTGAATGCAACTTTTAGATTTATATCCATGTTAGAACGGACCTGAATGCGTTATGAGGGTTAAAAGTTTTGACTTGCAAGTATAGGCAGAAATATGATAGTAATTGGAAGCATAGCACAAAACGAGTAAAGACACTGGGATTGGTTTGCAGGTTTGGTTCCAAAATGCACGGGCCAAATTCAGAAGAAACGTTTTGCGGCAGGAGAATGGGGGTGTTGATAAGGCTGACGGCACGTCACTTCCGCCACCCTCTTCCGACAGCGGTGCTCTGACCCCACCAAGCACGGCCACCACACTAACTGACCTGACCAATCCCTCTATCACCGTAGTAACTTCAGTCACCTCTAGTTTGGACAGCCACGAATCTGGGAGCCCCCCACAAACTACCTTGACAAACCTTTTCTAACACGGAGTTGCTTTTTTTGTCTTTATCCCCCTTTATTTCCAGATTCTATTTTTATTTTCCACGAAAAAACGAAAAACAGCAACAACACAAAAACCTTTTGGTGACCACCAGAAAGACTTTGGAAATGTAAGACGAGACCTACTAAATGTGTAGCATTTGCAACCGCGTGGCAGCTGAGTTTGTAGTACTTGTCAATGATTTGTTTTTTGTTTTGTGATCTGGACATTAATTTTATACGTTTAATTTATTTAATTTGAGTTTCTGTTAGACATATCAGTAAAACAAAGATGAACGAGACCCACTTTTTATGAAGCGTCATTAATTACTATGCTATAACGTTGTAATGAATCATTTGATACAATGTATTTATTATGTAGACACGTGTATTTAGATTTTGCTTTAATCTGTAATCAATTTCTGTAAATTCATCTGTAATTACACAAAATGTATCCAATATCAGTAGCTGCAAAATTGTTTTGCGATACAGCATGAACATTATAAATACATTGTACCTAATATATAGATGCAAATGCATAGTATTTGAAGACACTTTATATAAAGTGGGACAGAATTTGTTAGCATACAGTACATGGTATTGCATTATTTGCTTATTGCATATTTGTTCAAGTTTAACCCGGGACATTTTTGTTCATGTTTCCCTTGAGCTCAAATGCCAAGTGGATGCTGTAAGCTCAATTTTGGTCAATATTGTCACTGACGCTGGACTGTAATGTCGATAATTGTTTGAAACGTTACCACCTAATTTGTCACAGTGTGGTGCGAATAGGATCACACACTCCTAAAAATAAAGGTTCAGGGTCGTAGAAGAATAATATTTGGCTCCCTTTAAGGAAACGCTCCCTACACTGTAAAAAATACAGGGTTCCATACAATTCCTTCATGTTGTCCCAACACAAATTGATTAAGTTAACTTAACACTTTTAACAAATTTTTGTGGATTGAACATAAAAATATTAAGTTATCCCAATGAAATCTCAAGAATTGTGTTGTTTCAGCTCATTTTAAATAAGAAGTTTAAACGAGCAATATACATATATATGTTTGAGTGTAAGTAAACAAATTTTATTAGTGCAAAGAACATTTTTAAAAAATCTAAGTAACCTTTTTAACTGTAAAATATAATAGAAGAGCCATTTTTGGTTACCCCAAAGAAACTTTTAGCAAAGAACTAGTTTGAGGAACGTTTTTAAAAATGGATGTTCTTCATGCTTAACATTCTGCCAATAAAGAACCTTTAATTTTAGGAGTATCAAGTGGCCTGGATTTGTTTTTTTGGGCTTCAACTAGTTGAAGTACTGTTCTGAATTGACAACAACAACTGTTCTGAATTGAGATATCCAACACTCAGTGACAATATGGTGCCCAGTAGGAAGCGTTCTGAGTGATTTGTGAATGCTAAGCAGGAAGTTAATTAGGAACGACACACATCACCCCATTTTATTCTGGTTTTCCCCCCTGTTATTTTTCAATGTTTTGCCACCGGACAAACCAAAAAAAAAAGAAGAAAAAAAAGAAAAAGCAAATCCCAATTGCAGCTCAAGTGCGAGATGTTTGGGTGGCTCCTCGCTTTCCTTGTGTGAAGACAAATTTGTTCTGTTGTAGAACAAAGTGGTACACTAGATCTACTTCATGAAGTAGATGCTTAACTCAGTTCTACTATGTGCCTTATGCGACTTGGAAGAGAGTTTGTGAAATTCAGGAGATACATGTTTGTTTGTTAAATGATTTCCATCCTCGGAACGCCTCACTAGTTTTGTACTGTTCTGTTTTTCATCTGATTTTCTTTTCGTTTTTTTTTTCTGAAGATCTTTTTTTAATGGTGTATTCTGTTACAAGGGGGCGGCGATGTCATAGAAGGCAGTTGTGCACTCTTTCAGAACTAGTTGGAGAATCATATATATATTGATCTTCGTGTTAATAGTACAGTACGTGTTCTATCAAGATTGTCCATGTTTCCTTGTTTCTTGAAAAAAAAGATGGTGTATAGAAACTATTTCCCCTTAAATATTTATGGACCAAACAGTTGTTATATCTTATTAAATTTGTGTGAATAAAACTACTTTGCTTTACCAGCGTTTTATTTTTCATTACACAAACCATTTTATTTGTGTGTGTGTGTGTTGCTTTCAGATTTAAACTTCTTCTCACAACCAAACAAAAATGACAGATCGAACCTTGTCTTGCTTTCATTCTGACATCGATTTCAGACTATATTCTGTTTCTGTTGTTAAAGTAATGCCCCATGGATTTGACCCAAAGCCCTGTAGTCAAGAAAAGATGCTTTTTAATGCATGAACATGGCTACTTTTTTCACAGAAATGCCAGCTTAGAAAGATCTTTTTTTTTTTTTTTTGAAAAACTAGTAAACATAAACCTCTCAAAGCAAGGTTGCTCTGTAGTTTAATATATTGTTACTTTATGATTTTTTTTCAGGGAGAACAAATCTTGGGGCATTACAGCCATACTTCACGACGTTTGAAAATTCCCTAAAGTATTAAAAGAAGCTTTGATCGGAATTCTTCACCATTGAAGACAAAGACAGTATTAGGATCAGATTTTAGTCATTTCAAATCTACCAAAAAAGAAAATGATGTTTTCCAAAATCTTTTTGTTTTTCCTCTTTAAAAAACATCCTGAATGATTAAAAGCCTTCTTCTACAACAAATGGGATATTTTTTGTGACTGTAATGAGGCCAAAAGGCAAACTAAGCTGTACAGTATTGTAGATACGTAACAGAGCAACCTTGCTCCAAGAGGCGACTGCAGGAGACGGATCTACGCACGCATGCATGTCTACACACACACATATACACAAACTACCTTGTAATTCTGCTTGCTGTAAAACATTCCTGTGCAACAAATGTCACTTATCATGAACGCACAGCCTTCCTAAAACTTGGCAGGAAAATGTCCGACCAGGAGAAGCTGGAAAGGAACACCATATGGCTGTATTTAAAATACAAGTTATAAGAGAGAAAGAAAAAAAAGAAGAGAAAATTCTGCATGCACTTCTCATTGTTGACGGCTATTTCAGATGGATATTATTTCATATTGATGTTTCATTTGTTGTCTGTTGTGTACTTAAAGGAGTTTTCTTGTAAATTCAAACCTTACCGACAAAATCGACAGTTTAAATACGTAAACGCATGCTTGATTTGACAACAAAAACTGTTTATCTTAGGAAAAAACATTTGGGTTTACTGCTTTTCATAGTAATACATTCTTGTGGTGTTAGTTTAAAAACAAATATGAATGAATAAATAAAATAAAGAAGGGAAATGATCAGATTTCACTGTCGGTGTTTTAAAATGTTTTGTTGAATTGTAACTATCCTGAAATAAAGATTGTGTAAAGTCTGAGGGGAAAGAAAGGCCACATGGGGGCCTAGTAAACACTGAAGTGTTGAATTCCTGCTATGCCAGACGTGTCAATGAAGCTTTGCGCCGGATGACCACAAAACCTAATTCTTTTCAGTCTGTGGGCAATTTCTTCATAAAAAAAATAAAAAGCTTAGTCGGGCAGACTAAAATGCGCTTTAAACACTGAATCTGACTGATTTCAACAGTCAAATTAGGTAGAAATGCACACTGTACTACTATAAAATCTAAAATGTGAAAGTAAATAAAGCTGGGTTTAAGTCATCAGGCTGGGAAAGGAGACCTTGAGATCAAAAAGAGGATTTTTTTTACACACTCGGAGGAGTGGAATGGTCAGCGTAACCAGAAGCTAACAGGAAGACTGATGCTGTCCTCCCTTCAGAAAACAAAACACAAGGAGACACACTGCATGAGGAATCAGGAAGGTTTGTGAGAATTGTGTTTACATGTGCATGCTCTCGGTTTATGTCACAAAAACGTAAAAAAAAAATAATAATAAAAAAAGCAACAAATTTAAAATAATTAAGCTATTAAAAGGATGGTTCACTCAAAACTGAAGAGAATGCTGTCTTTGCGAATTCATCCTCATGTTGTTATTAAGTTCTTCTATCACAGTTGTCTTCTAATAAATGGTTGCACATCATAACATCTCAAACCATGTTTAGCTTCATTTAAGTCTGCAATTAAAAGTCATTAATTTTAATATTTATTAAATTATTTCATGCTAATGTTGGATAATAATGCTGCTAAAACTTGTAAAAAAATACACAAGGATATTTCAGTGTCTGGGATGGAATTCAATTCACAAAATTGCTTTGTATGAGGAGAATGTACAGTTGAATAAACAGTGGCTAATAATTCAGGGGGCCTAATAATTCTGACTTCAATTGTGTGTGTATGTATATGTGTGTATTTGTATACACACACACACACACACACACACACACACACATATATATAGTTGAAGTATATATAGTTGAAGTCAGAATTATTAGCCTCCCTTTGAATTGTATTTTCTTCTTTAACAGATCAAGGGAATATTCACAATATGTCTGATAATATTTTTTCTTCTTAAGAAAGTCTTATTTGTTTTATTTTGAATAGAATATAAGTAGTTTTCAGTTTGTTTGAAACCATTTTAGGGTCAAAATTATTAGCCCCTTTAAGCTATTTATTTTTTCCGATAGTCTACAGAACAAACCATCGCTATACATAAACTTGTCTAATTACCCAAACCTGCCTAGTTAACCTAAATAACCTAGTTAAACCTTTAATTGTAACTTTAAGCTGTATAGAAGTGTCTTAAAAATATCTTGTCAAATACTATGTAAATATTACATGTAAATAATTATTATGCTGTCATCATGGCAAAGATAAAATAAATCAATTAGAAAAGAGTTATTAAAACTATTATGTTTAGAAATGTGCTGAAAAAATGTTCTCTCCATTAAACAGAAATTGGGGAAAAAAATTAACAAGGGGTTTAATAATTCAGGGGGCCTAATAATTCTGACATATATTCTGACATAAATTCTGACATATATATATATATATATATATATATATATATATATATATATATATATATATATATATATATATATATATATATATATATAGTGTGAACTAAATTAAATGTTTTGATGGTCTTAATTGCATGTCGTTTACGATTAAGTGAAAAAGTAATACAGTTTAAATTGAAGTTAAAGTGTACTGCTGGATGTATTACAAACATTTGTGGTAACTAAAGTACACTTTAATGTTACTTCTGATGAGGTATTTAAAAAAAAGTTCAATTTAGTATAGTTTAAAATAAATAAATGGTACAAATGTATTCATCTGATTGTTCTATAGTACATCAATCAACATAAATATATGTGTACATATTGTGTAATATATTGTATGTGTTACTTTAACGATTGACACAAGTATAAAACAATGCACTGTTTACATTTTAAATTTTTTCATTCATTCATTTTCCTTCACCTTAGTCCCCTATTTATCTATTCTAGCATATTAGCACTATTCCAGCATATGTTTTACATTGATGGTGCCCTTCCAGTCGCAAACCAGTACTGGGAAACACCCATACACACTCTCATTTACACACACACATACACTACAGCTAATTTAGCACATGTCTTTGGACCGAGGGGAAACTGAAGCAGCCGGTGGAAACCTACGTGAATACGGGAAGAACATGCAAACTCCACACAGAAATGCCAACTGGCCCAAGTGCGAGTCGATCTTCTTGCTGTGAGGTGACAGTGCTAACCACTGAGCCACCGTGCCTTTTTACACTTTTTTTTACCTTATTACAAAGTGTATTTCTCAAAACTATGCGTTAAAATCATGTACAGCAATATAAGATGAGTTTCTCTGGATTCACTAGATTTAAAATATTATTATTTGCTTTATTCTATAAAGGTCTGATACATATTTGAATTTCCGATCAAAATAATATGTTTTTTTATTTTGTTGCAGAAAATGACAATTAATCAGAATAACAAATGTTTTCATTTGCTGTTGTTGAAAAATCAGGGTTATTCCAGCAATTATTAATTTCAAAGTTATTTATTATTTTGAACAATTATACAATATAACGAAAACAATAACATTATTGTTATTTTGCGCAATTGTCATTTTATGCTCTAAATGACAGTAAGCAAATTTTGAAGAAATGTCATCAGTAATTTACAGTATAAAACAAAAATGATGTTTTACTCATGTTTCCCAGTATTGGGTTGCAGCTGGAAGGTCATCCACAGCTTAAAACATATGCTGGAATAGATGGCGGTTCATTCCACTGTGGCGACCTCTAAAATAAAGACTAGGCCAAAATAAAATTAATGCATTTTTTACTCAAACACACACACACACACACACACACACACACACACACACACACACACACACACACACACACACACACACACACACACACACACACACACACACACACACACACACACACACACACACACACACACACACACACACACACACACACACACACACACACACACACACACACACACACACACTTGTACATGTATATTTATGGGGACTTCCTATAGATGTAATGTTTCTTATATGGTACAAATTGTACATTCTTTCC